ACATTTAGTGAGATATATAATAAATGAATTTGTTTAAATTTTTTCCCTACTTCCTAATTTAGACCCCCCTCCAGAAATTTAGTTCATAACAAAACCAGAAAACCCAATGATCAACGACTGTGTAATTCATAATGTTAATTTTTCAAGATTGCTAATTTTCCAATTATTACGACCTGGCCCCCAGTCCCCCAAAACGGGCGTGAAAGCCCTAGATCTATTAGAAAATTTGCTCTAAATTCAGAAAGCGTTTTTCATTTTTGAGGTTACAGAAATTATGACTTAATTTGCTCAAACATAAATGACACACGCTAAATAAATTTTATTCCATTGATTTGAATTAAATCTTTTTTAAATTTCAAAGTCTTAAAAAGATAACCTTTAAATTTCAGATGTATTGATTAAAAGGTATCAGATATATTAATGTATTCCCTTTGTTTTTGATTTTTGATGCTAACATTTTTATTCACATTATCTGCATGTATATTGTTCTATCTTTCATTTTTGTTTCAAAATAATGTATTATTCTTGTTTAAAACCTCTTAATTTTCTGTATATAACATTTGTGTGATATTTTTGCACTTTTTTTCAAAGTCATTTTTCACAACTTTACTCGCACATTGAAGACATTTCCCAATAAATATCCTATTCATAACTAGCCTATAGGAAGCAATTTTAATTTAGGAGAGAGCAGAATCTCACAATAAAAAGATCATCGGGATCTTATGAAAGGGCATTACCGTAAATTAGCAAAATATAAAAAGAGTTTGTTTTCTAGTGTATGATATACTTGTACTGGTAAAATTATCGAGGGGACACAACTGTAAAATTGACAAATCTACTCATTATTCAGTATAAATATCTTATACAAAAAAAAATGGGGGGGGGGGTATTTACCTTTTTACCCACTGGTTACTACAAGACTGCCCTAGTGAATAGCACACTTTCTAGCATGGAATCACACTATGTCTGTTTCTTTTCCTTTTTTAATTTTCGTTTTAATACACCTTTCACTTCATATGCAGACATTTTGAATGTGTGTGTATATGCGTGCAAAACATTAATTGCAAATTCTTTTCAAAACTTCTGTCAACTTCTGACTGCTGAAAAATGACATGGAGTTATGACATACCAATGAACAAATACTAGTACTTGTATTGTTGTCCTGGGTGTTGAGAATTATTTAAATTGACAAGATAGTTTAGCGGGAAAATAGTAATAATTGGCATTTGAGCAGAATTTAACAAAATGTTTTCCATGAACAAAATAGCGGATGGATAAGTATGCAATTCATAGGTCTTACATGTACATTAGCCTGGCAGGGTATTGTTCACGAACTGCAGCACTTTTAAAATATCGGATCAGCACTGATTTAGATGATTTTTATGTAAAATATAATTAACTAATACGATTTTAAGAGAAAAATATTTCCGCCCAAATTTAATTTCCTGCTCTTAATACTCCCTCAGCTCATCAGAAGAACGCTGCAGTGAAAAACTTTAAACATCGAAATGTGGACCTGCTCCCAAACAAGGTCTCACCAAAGGGTATGTGTCTTCAAACTTAACAGTGGAAGCCTACTAAATAAAACTTATTTCAGTAATATTGTTTCACTTGAGGGGGCCGACTATAGTTTCCGTTGCACAATATTTCACGCATCAGAGTAAAGTGAAGCTTCTTTACTGTTTTAATGCAACTTTTTTCGCTTAATTATTAAATTTACACAAAATTAAGAAATTATAGGTATAAAAATGTAATTACAATTTGATATAACTGATTTTTAAACCGATTTTGCAATTGATAGGTAAGTTGACGTCGTTGCAGTGTGTTTTTGACGTAATGATAATCTGTAGCTCTTAAAGAAAGGGGTAATAAAAATATTATTAAAGAAAAAGTAATAAACATACGCTCTTGAAATTTAAAACAGAAATTTGAGAATATCTCCAATATTTGTATTATGTTTTCATGTGAATCCATTGTGTATGTCGTATTTTGTAATACCCAATAAAAATAGTAAAATTTACTAATTTTTTGCATTTTGAGATGCCCCCTCTGGTAACAAGCGGTAGAATTTTGTGTTTCTTACATATATTGTATAATATAGTATTACTCATCAAATATTATAGTTTGAACAAAATGTTTATTTTAGTATTCACGGCGGGGAATCTACGTCATTGTACGGGATTAGGACACACAAAAATGGAGGACAAATGCTCCGCTTCGATGTAAGAAATTGATATTTTTGCATTTATAAAGAATGGATATTAAATCAGTATCCTGCCTAAAGTATATGCCGAAGAACGTCAACTACAATATATATTGTACGTTAGTTCGTGAAAGAATGGTTATTGCTCCAAACACTTCGACACAGTTTGAAAACAAGTGAGAAAAACCCGGGATGTGGGGCACACATTTTTAAAATTCGACCTATTATTCGCATGTCCAGATGTACTAGACATTTTATTCTTCCGCGTTTACACTAGAACTAATATTTTAAAAAAATCCAGATTTGTTTAATAGTTTATAATGCTTTAATTATCCAAGAAAAAAGTATAAATCATTTTGTTTTCAGAAATGATGTAGGGCACACCAACACTAAAACGGATATGGGACACACATTAAGTTACTTTCAAATTGAAACATCGAGCATTCATATCTTAATATTTACATCCACTGAGTATTTTCTCCTTTATTTCTTAAGAAACCCCATTGCGTTCATCACTTCATAAACTACAGTAGGCAGGTCGCCTGTACAGATTTCTTAATCAGTGGCTGTTCCATCAATGAAACGTATAAAGACGTTCGCATCATTAATACAATAATTAATCTTTTTAATCCTACTTTAATTGATTTTTTAAACAGATATAAATATAAACAATAAAATGCTTTCTTTGTTTGTTGTTACAAATGAAACATCGCAGCTATTGCAGAAAAAATTTACATAACCCGCTTACGCGGGTTATGTTTTTTTCAAAGCTGCATATTTCATTCCAGTAACAACAAACAAAGAAAGCATTTTATTGTTTAAATGTTTCCACTTAAATGACTGCTGTTTGGTAGTATAGATGAACAATTACCTGTACAACACATCTTTGTAATACTCATCCAAATATTTGATTTTCCCTTGGTTTGCTTGTATCCATACAAAAATTCAAATATTGTAAGTTGAAATGGCCTGCATGATCCTCAACAAAAGCTGCAAAAATGAATTTCAAATTTTGACTTTTATTAAATATTACATTGAAAGATACTAGTATATACATGTATCTAAATGGAAATTTTGAAGTCCGGAGTCTATGTATATTTTACGTACTCTACGATAATTCTATGTTTAGTAACACGACCCAGACCCTATTGAACACGCATGAAAAAGCTTTTTTTTTAGGTTGATTGTTTAATTTCTTTGCTTGTAAAAACATTTTGGAGTCAGAACTTTTTTTTTGTTTGTTTGGACCCCCCCCCCTCTCTCTCCTCGAAAAGTTTATATATTCGTTCAGTGTTTGTATTTATTAGATCTTTGTCGGCAAGACTCTAAGTATGTCAGCTGATAGGAAGCGGAGATTAAGGAACTTTTCTTATGCTCAACTATTTGCAACAGCTGACAAACTTGTATCAAAATTCTAATAGTTTTTTAATCCATATTTAGAAAAAAGACAAAGATGAATATTGTACTTCGAAGGTGGCTAAATCATCGTAATATTGGAAAAACCTAACAGTTATTGTTTTATTATACATGTATGAATCAGTGATTAAATATTACGTACTCATAAAGCAGTTCATGCCATCTTATTTACATTTGCTAGAATACCGGTATTAGCCAAAAGTAATGATAGGAGCAGGGTTTAATAAATTATACTATAGCAGTATAAATTGGGATTTTTTGTAAAAAGTACTTTATTAGCTATACCAAAAAAAAATGATAATAATAATGTCAAGCTCTTTTATAGGATAAGTTTTGGAGGGGGGAGGCATAATCAGAGAAAAATGACAGCTAAAAACCTTTGATTTGTTTTGGCCCTCCCCATCATTGGCAACCACTTTCACACATGTACATTCGATTACTAATTTTATGTTCACCTGAGTGCAAGTTAGGAGCAAATAAAATAGCTTTCCGAAACTATTTGTTTCAATTTGGAATTTCCCGATCTATTTTTTAGACCATCGTAGCATGTGAAGGGAAAAAATTCTTATATTCACCTGGAGGGTCAGTTGTTGCAAATATTTGAGCATAACAAAAATTCTTGATCTCTTTCCCATATCAAAAGACATGCTAGTGCCGAAGATCTTATTATTAATACCAATATGCAGATTTAGGAACTTTTTCAAGATGGAAGGGGGGGGGGGGTCCACACAAACTCCAAAGAATTTTCTGAATCCAAACTATTTTTTGTTTGGACACAAGCAAACCAAGGGAATCAAGTGGATGAGTTTTACAGGTTATTGTAACATCTAACAACAGTCATTTAAATGGAAACATTAAGATATGAAGGCTCGATGTTTCAATTTGAAAGTAAATTAATGTGTGTCCCATATCCGTTTTAGTGTTGGTGTGCCCTACATCATTTCTGAAAACAAAATGATTTATACTTTTTTCTTAGATAATTAAAGCATAATAAACTATTAAACAAATCTGGATTTTTTAAAATATTAGTTCTAGTGTAAACGCGGAAGAATAAAATGTCTAGTGCATCTGGACATGCAAATGATAGATCGAATTTTAAAAATGTGTGCCCCACATCCCGGGTTTTTCTCACTTGTTTTCAAACTGTGTCGAAGTGTTTGGAGCAATAAGATTCTATCACGAACAAACGTACAATATATATTGTAGTTGACGTTCTTCGGCATATACTTTAGGCAGGATACTGATTTAATATCCATTCTTTATAAATGCAAAAATATCAATTTCTTACAATACGATTTAAATAGAAAATTACATGTAGACATGATATGAAAAATATCCCCCCCCCAAATTTGATTCCCTGCTCTTAATACTCCCTCAGCTCATCAGAAGAACGCTGCAGTGAAAAACTTTGCCCATCGAAATGTGGACCTGCTGCCAAACAAGGTCTCACCGAAGGGTAAGCATCTTCAAACTTCACCTTGGAATCATACATGATAAAACTTATTTCAGCAACATTGTTTCACTCAATGTTAACACTTAAAAGTGTATTGATTTAAAACAGGTGATAAATCTGCAGACTTAAAGACATGTAAAAAGATATCTTTAATATAAGTCTATGGCCTTGATGTTTTTTTAAATGTACAAATGTCACCTTTTTGTAGAAATATTTTCACTAATGTAATATTTTAAATATTAAAAAATATTTTACAAAATATTGCTGAAGTTTTCCTTCTTTTCTCAGTCTTACAGAAAATCATGGAGTCCAACAAGTCTCCTCGTGGTATGTACAAGATAGGGCACAAATTGATTCTGTAATAAAATCCCTTAAGGCTTATATATTGATTGATAAAATTTAAGGAGAGATTCATGTAATATCTGAATACATTCAAAATGAAATTTAAATACATATGTTTATTCTCTAATACTTGTGAACGTTTTATTCAACAAACAGCTCTGCAGAAAGAGCTGGATGCCATTGGAGGTTTTGATGCCAAAATGACACTCAGACCATGCAAGTCAGCTACTTTACCAAGAGTAGACAGACCAATTATTCCTAGACCGAATACTTCTTATCATCCAATACCTGCAATAAAAGTATTTCCAAAGAAACAGCCCCCGGAAGGTTATTTATATTTTCTATTCTAATCAATCACATCGTATATAATATTTCATTTGATCTATTCCAGTTTATTAATTTGAGAGAAAAAGACAACTCAGTCTTAAATTAATCCCGAGTTCCTAATGTCATTAAGGACAAAAATTAGTTGCCTTTTTTAAAAAAAATAGTTAACATTAATTATTTTCAGAATTCAATAAAGTGAAAGTAAAAGGAGCCTTTCCTGTCCTGCCTCCAATATCTAAAAAGTGTGCAGCCCCTAGTTTGGTTAAAACATCCAAACGCACCACAACCTCAGAAGGTAAATTTATTTTTCAAAACGAAGTTTGTTTGCATATTTTTGTTGATTAATACTATGCTACATGTACGATTTGTAAGTCTTTTATATATAGGACTCTAACAAATAAATTGATGTATTTTAGATTCACTTGTGAAAAAAGGATTGCCTGTAGTTCCACCAATACAGTTAAAGACAACTAAAGACAAAACTCCAGGAACAGTTAAATCACCTCCAGCTACACCTCTGTCTGATGGTACTCTTACAATTTCAATATTCCCCTTTGGTATTTTATCATTCTTTTTAAATATATATGGTTCTTTTTTCTTTTTTAAATCAGTTTAATATTTGTTATTATTGAATATTTTTTTTCTAGCAACAAAGCAGCAGATTGCGAACCTAGAAGACAATGATGTGTTTGAAGTTATTCTGCCACCCAGCTCTTCTCGGTGCAATACTGGAAGTTTAGAAGCTCAAAAAGGTCCAGCTAATATTCCAACAGGTAATACTGCAACAATTTTTAAATCGTTAAATTTTTTATCTGAAACACATAAAAAATAAAAATAACTGACAGTGACCTGCTGAAAAAACAAATTGTGATCTGGGCAAAAGCAAAAGCTTGAATCGATTCTTGTAACACTAGCTCTGAGATCTGGTACTTAAGAGATGTAAGCATCCCGTATTGACCAGTCATAACCGCCGAGAAATATCCATAGAAGCAATTACTTTACAAATGGTATGATGTGATGTTTGTTAGAGGAAACACAATCCAAAGAAAGGTTCTATTTACAAATACAGTCATTAAAACGACCGTAGAATTTTTGATCTGTCACTTAGCTTTTATTTATCCATATTTATAGAGAATGCTGAAGAAGTAAACATGCTGTCTCTGAACACACCCTCAAAAGGTAATAATCATTAAATTTTCTTAGTAACTTCCAAATTGATCTTATTTTTAGTGATGTCTCTATAAAATATTGTTCATGTCTAGTTTCAGAGAAACAAAAATACAGAATGTGTGATGTACTTTCTTCACAAACACAGTTGTCTCTAGAGGACTTTTGTTTGGACTTTACACCAAGGCAACCAATACCAGCTGAGATTCAAGAAAAGTTGGATAGCTTGGATATTGCCTCGATAACAGTTCCGTTCAAACCTTTCGAAGGAAACAGCCAGTTCTATGATGCAAAAGAAAGAATCCAGGCGTTAGTCACACCTAACATGTACGAAGGACGCATGGAAAGCCTTACTGCAGAAGATGTCCGATTCATTCAGTCAAGAAATGAAGATAGCTTCCTTTATCATCACTTTCAACAAGATTTCACGGATGAAACATTGGAATCCCCCAGGTATATCCCTCGCACTTTTCTTTCCCCAGTTGAAGCGGCTGAAGAGGTTGATAGAGAATCTTCTCCATTAGTGATGTATCTCACCCGAACATTCCTGTCCCCAATTGAGGAGGTTGATAGAGAGTCGTGCTTATCAGCGAATAAGGTTGTTGTTGATGTGAAAGCTGTTGAGGAGGAGAAAAGAGGAACACCAATTAAAAGTTTTCAACAACAGAAGAAGACACATCAAAGGAAGATTGGTTTGTAATATTCTATTTATGTGAAATAAATTCATATACATGTACTTAATTAGTATTACAAATGTACTAGACGTACTACTAGTACTTAGTATTTGATCAATAAGAGCATTATTTTTGGAAACGCTATTACCAATTTTGTCAATAAAATACACATTTTACAAAATATATAATAAGCTAGGTATATGTATGACTCTTTAGTATGTTTTTTTTTAAATCACCAGATGGTATTGAGCAGCAAGACAGTCAGAGGAAAATAGAGAAGGTTCAAGGTACAAATGAAATGTAAGTAATACTAGTACTTCTTTAATTTACTTATTCCTTGCTTTGAAATTCAAATAATGAACAGCAAATAAGTAATTAATTTTTTTCTGTATGGTACTTCATTCACTGAAGATCAGTCATAGAAAAAAAAATATATTCTGATAAATCAAAAATTAATAATAAAAAAAAAACTTCATCAACATGGGCAAATAAATTTGTGGGTTGTTCTTATAAATCATTTGAAGTTCAGTGGGTAGAACATTAGTTTTAGAAATACAAAGTATAATTTTAATCTCACTTTGGTTCATGGGCTTTACTTAGTCCATGGAACTAACTATTATGTTACATATGTCACACTAGCTGACAAAAACATTACAATGGCCTCAAGTGCTGTACATGTATGTCTAAATTTGTCCCAAAAAGGCAGAAAAAGTTTTGGGAGTTGATGGACTTGAAACAAACAACTAACCAACCTAATATACCTTATCTAACACCAACCAAAAATTGATGATTGTACCTGACTAGAGAAAGTCATTCTTTTGCATTGTATTATTAGATTCTTGGAGAGACTTCAAACTTTAGGTGCGAAATCAAATCTGGAGGAAATGAAACTCACAAATCGTCTAGCGGTAATGAAGTCAGAGCTGGAAAATACACAGAAACGAGCAGACACGGCAAAACAGCAGCTCTCTCAGAGACAAAGAGAGCTGAAGGAGGTTAGGGTCACCAATAGACTGTTGACAGAGAAGCAACAAAAACTGCAAAAAGAAATGGAAATGGTAGAGAGGGAACTAAAGAAGGGTAAATCCAAAGACAAACAGCTAAGTAACGAAGTGAAGAGGATGTCTATTGACCATGAAAAGCTGATCTCTCAGGAGGATCTCATAATCCAAGAGAGCCAGCAAATTGAGAGAAAATTAAAGAAGATTAAATCAGTTAACAAGAAGCGCAAGCATTTTAGATAAGTTGATCCACCCATCAGGAATTTATTTTCTAAAATATTTTACAGCTTTTTTCACCATATATTTTTTGTTTGCTCATTTTTTAATATTTGCAATAACTGAGTTCGTTTTGTGCACCATTATTTCTTCAATCCATCCTGTTACGTATAGTTATGTGTTATGTGCTTCATATCACATAATTTTTTAAGGAACTTAGTTGAGAAAAGTTTTCTGAGTATTTAACCGATTTTGTTACTTGATTTTTAAATGCAGTTTATATTTTGTTTACCCATAACTTAAGAAATTGTAAATTTTATGCTGGTAAAAATTTGAATATCATAGATTTTTAGATAAGGTGTAATTTCTGATTTATAGAAAGCTGGCAGACTTATCAAATTTTGAAACAAAAATCTTTTTACACGTAGCTCTTTTGTTTTTTGAACCTCATCATCACCATATTCAAAAGTATTTTAAAGCACTGATGAAAATTTCAATTAATGTTTTTAATTGTTGATGCAAAACTAATGAACTGGAGCTAAAATGTATTTTGAGAATATAATTCAATGTTCATATTTAACAAATTCTTAAATTCAATATCTTGATTACTGTTCGACCCATGACTTGTATTTTGTCTGTTAGGTTATTTAAACTTCAGTTTTCATCAACTCTACAACAGTTTTACAAGCATAGTTATTATAGTAATTTTTAATATTATCATTACATTTAAACTAAGATAGTTATATAACTGAAATCTTTCAATACTTTAACTTTCAAGAAAGTATGATTATTTGAACGATTAGATGTTTGAATGTATGTGACAGCATGATTGTTTGAATGGTTGGAAGTTTGAGAGTATGGGACAGCATGGTTTGTGTGAATGATTGAATGTTTGAGTGAATGTGACAGCATGATAATGTGAATGGTTGTATGTTTGAGTGTATGCGACAGCATGAATGGTTGAAAGATTGAGAGAATGGGACAGCATGGTTTGTGTGAATGGTTGTATATTTGAGTGAATGTAACAGCCTGATAATGTGAATGGTTGTATGTTTGAGGGTATTCGACAGCATGATTGTTTGAATGTTTGGAAGTTTGAGAGTATGGGACAACATGGTTTGTGTGGGTGGTTGTATATTTGAGTGTATGCGACAGCAGGATTGCTTGAATGGGTGGATGTTTGGATGTTTGAGTGTATATAACAACATGATTGCTTGAATGGTTGGATGTTTGAATGTATGTGACAGCATGATTGTGTGAATGGTTGTATGTTTGAGTGTATGTAAAATCAAATTTTTGTGAATGGTCGGATGGTTAAATGTATGTGGCAGCATGGTTGTGTGAATGGTTGGATGTGTGAATGTATGCTTGTCAGCATTTGAGTGGATGGATTGTTAAAATAATGAACAGATGTATATCAGTAGTAAATGTTTGAGAGTAGGTGACAGCATGATTGTGTGAATGGTTGGATGATTGATTGTATGTGTAAACATGATTTTTGAATGATTGAGTGTGTGTGACAGCATGGTTGTGTGAATGGTTGTATGTTAGTGGATGTGACATCAAGTTTTTATGAATGGTCGGATGGTTAAATGTATGTGGCGGCATGGTTGTATAAATGGTTGGATGTTTGAATGTATGAATGTCAGCATTTGAGTGGATGGATTGTTGAAATAATCTACAGCTGTATGCCAGTAGGAAATGTTTGAGTGTATGTCTGTGTAAATGTTTGAGTGTATGTTAATATGGAGGTTTGATTTTATGTATAACAGTTTACTTAGTAATTGTTAAAGAAGATTGTTGTTTAAATGCATGTATAAAAGCATGGTGATTTGAGTGAATAATTGTTTGATTGTATGTTTGTCAGTATGAATGTTTGATTGTATGTATGTCAGTATAAATGTTTGCTTGTATGTATGACAGTGCGATGTTTGATTGAATATATTAAAGTATGAATATTTTATTGTATGTATGTCAGTATACATGTAGTTGTGTCAGAGGATGGATGTTTGAATGTATGCATAAATGTACGAAAGTTCAGCGATATAAGTCCAATTAAAAATGAATGATTATAATGTTTAAGATAATTTTAAGATTACTTTCATCATTTTCTAGTTGATTTAAAAACGATTTTGAGTGAATGTTAATAGATTGTCAGTGGTTTGTGTTGTGTTTTCAGTCCTTTTTTGGCAGAGATGTTTCATGCATGGATGAAACAGCTCTGCCAAGGAAATAGTGTTTCCCTCTGTTGAGTTTTCTCTAGCCTCAGATCTTCTTGCAGTGCAGAAGATGCGTGGCTAGAGAAACCTCATCAGAAGGATCTTCTTTTATTAGAGATCTTCCATTCATTAATTCTTTCATGTATGAGAGTTTTTGTGGCTGGTCTTTTTCTAATAAAAGAAGATTTCACTATTTCTTGTGAAGTTCCTTCCAAATACTAATCTTCTGACTATTTATGCATAAGGTTTGTAGGTGGATTTTTCTTCACAATAAAGGACAGTATTTTTTGGTTTAAGATGCTTCTTTTGCACACCTTTTCATAGGGTGTGCAATGAAGGAGAATCTTACACCAAAAAGAAAACACAACACTGAATTTGCATTTCATGTCATCTTCCTATATCTGTTGATGCTTCAGTATATCCCAGGGTAACAAAGGGATATACAAAGTCATCAACTTTGGAAAGATGACAATGAAGATGATGTGAAATGCTTGTGTGGATGAAAGTGTGAATGTAATTGTGTGAATGTGTATTGTCTTTCACTATTAAACAATTTTCAATTGTCAGAGAGCACACGACTAATTACAACTAGTCACGTGCTCACTGACAATTGAAAATTGTTTTATAGTGAAAGACATTACAGTGTGTGTGATGATGTGAGATAGGTAGTACAGTGTGTTTATGAGAGGGTGAGGGTGTGTGTGATGATGTGAGATAGGTTGTACAGTGTGTGTGATGATGTGAGATAGGTAGTACAGTGTGTGTGAGGATGTGAGATAGGTAGTACAGTGTGTATGAGGATGTGAGATAGGTAGTACAGTGTGTGTGTGATGATGTGATGTGACGGTGTGTGTGTGATGATGTGAGATAGGTGTACAGTGTGTGAGATGATGTGTATGTAATGATGTGAGATTGTACAGTGTGTGTGTGAGATAGGTAGTACAGTGTATGTAATGATGTGAGATAGGTAGTACAGTGTGTGTGAGGATGTGAGATAGGTAGTACAGTGTATGTAATGATGTGAGATAGGTAGTACAGTGTGTGTGAGGATGTGAGATAGGTAGTACAGTGTGTGTGAGGATGAGAGATAGGTAGTACAGTGTGTTTGATGATGTGAGATAGGTAGCACAGTGTGTGTGATGATGTGAGATAGGGTGTACAGTGTGTGTGATTATGTGAGATAGGTAGTACAGTGTGTGTGAGGATGTGAGATAGGTAGTACAGTGTGTGTGAGGATGTGAGATAGGTAGTACAATGTGTGAGATGATGTGAAATCACTGTCAGTGAGTGAAATGTTTGTATAGAATATATGAAATAATGAACATGTTTGTGCTGAAGAATGAGTGAAGATGTATTGTAACGATGAATGTTTGAACAATATTGTGAGAAAGAATAACTCAGCATGTTTTCGTTTGTAAGATGAATGAGTGTGCATGTTTATGATGAATATAGAAAATCAAATTAATTTTTTGTAATGATAAAATCAGTGAGGATGATTAGATGTATGCATGTCTGAAAGAATGTTTGATTGTATATCTGTCAGCGTAATTGTTTGGGAGAATAACTGTTTGACTGTGGCATGATTGTTTTGGTGGATGGGTATTTTTATGAATGTTATGATTGTTTTCCATGAGTGAGAATGATTTATGGGTTAATCCATGAAAATATCATAATGAATATTTAAAAAAATGAAAAATGAGTATGAATGTTATGAGGAATGTAAGAATGAATAAGTAAGCATGTTTGTGAGGATGAATAAGTAAGCATGTTTGTGAGAATGCCTGTTTGTAAGGATAAATTAGTAAGCATGTTTGTGCGAATACATGTTATTGAGAATGAATAAGTAAGCATGTTTGTGCGAATGCATGACTGTTTTTGAGGATGAATAAGTAAGCAGGTTTGTGAGAATGCATGTTTTTGAGCATGTTTGTGATGAGGCATGTTTTTGAGGATGAATAAGTGAGCATGTTTGTGAGGTTGCATGTTTTTGAGGATGAATGAGTGAGCATGTTTTTGAGAATGAATGACTGAGCATGTTTTAAATCGTATTGAATGTGGCTTTGATTTTGAAAGGGAGAACGTGTTTGTAAGATTTGTGAGTTGACATGTTTGTGATAATAGTTACATGAGCTTTTTCGGTAAGAAATACGGTATGTGAGCATATTAGTGAGAACGAATGGTTGAGCATGTTTGGATTAAGAGTCTGCATATTTTTTTGATAATGAGTAACAAAAAATCTTAAATGATAAATAAGTGAGCATGTTAAAGCTGATAATTTGATAATTGAATGAGAATATATATGAGAAATTTTGCTTATATATTAAACAACTGTTTTTTTTTTTTTTCAAACAAACTTTTTTGACACAAGAATGTTACTTTTTAGAAATTTTTAACAAATTTCATGGAATTTTTTTTTAAGTTAAAAATTAATGATTACTTGTAGTCCTTGTTTTCTGACAAGCATTTTTCAAGTCATGGGTCATTCAACTTACAAAAGATTTTCTTTGTATGTGTTTTTACTCTTTAAGAATATTCTTTAATTTTTTGGTCTGAAGTTTTTATATACATTACAAAAGATTTTTTTCTCTCTTGGTTTGACTTACTTTGCAAAAATTACTGTAATTCATGGAAGTTTTGCCTTGCTATATAAACATAAATGATTATTCAATTAAAGATTGTTAGAAATTTAGAAAAATATTTCGTTTATTTGTGAAAAGTTTGAAAAATTCACAGATTTTCTTTTATCAAATATTAAGCCTGCATTTATGAAGCATAGATTTTCCACCTCAAGATATAAAAATATTTATTCAAGACATAATGTCATTAACGTGTAATTATTTTGATTTCTTACATAGTAGTTATTTATGTTCCTCTTTTCTATGGAATATGGGTTATTTGATATGAATATACAAGTGTGATGCATACATTTTTATTATGAAACAAGTTCTTCTGATGATATTTGAATTAATATCTTAAAACTTTAGTTGGAATATTATAGTAAATAAAGAATTTGATGGAATTTAGCAAATTGCTATTGTTATGATTTCGAGAATGGTCTTCTGCTTAAGATAATAAAGCATGGATATGCTATGTTGTCATTTTGTGAAAAAAAAATCGCATTGTCATCATGATTCCAGTGTCCAGAAAAATACCTGTGAACAAAAATAAATGTAAATGACATTTTTACTTTTTCACCTTTAAAAAAACTAAAAATACTTCTCATATCCAATGTTTTGTTAAAGTACTTTTAAACTCAATTGTGTTTGCAACAACAGTATCATCAGACATCTGCGCAGGTGTACTAGGTGCAAGCCTTAAAATGTCCCCTGATCTTATCCATATAAGGAAGCCATTCTGGTCTTCATGTCCCTTACAAGAACAATGTACCATTATAAGGATGTAACTTGATAGAAATATCACAATGGAAACCTCATTCTGCAAAGGACAAAGATCATCTCTTGGGCCATTGTTTCTGTTGAGGAGGCAGTCATCCAATACATTCCACATAACGCATATCATTTTTAAAAATCTCATGACTCCGTAACTGTCAATAATATAAGTAAACAGTTAAATATGAGATTATATTGAGGAGTTGGGTGTCATGTGTGGGTTTTTCTGATTCCATGTTTACATGAATCATTCTTTGACATATAAGATGTTTGCGGTGAAAATGCCATCTCTCATTCATCCAGGTGTTCACATCAAAGAAAGTCATGGATGTGTTTGCTCTTTCCGTTTTATCTTTTCTGTTTATTTTATGGAAAGTAGGAATTTGTTTTTCAAACCCTGTACAAGGTAAAAACATTTTACACATTCTGCAAATAACTACAATTTCTGTCCAGGACTCGATAACATTAATTGACTTCTCTTACTATATGAATTTTATCGCTTACATGTACCTAAAACTAAAATCTCTCTTTATTGTACATGCTTATACATGAAAATTTTTCTTTTATAATAAACTATTTTAGATCAATTATTCAAAATCACTCGTTTTAACATGCTGTTTATTTATCACTGAAGATACAACATGCCCAAGCGATATCCCAAACGGAGTTCTTGAAATAAACTGTACAGGATATGTAGGTTCTTATTGTGAAGTCATCTGTGATAGTGGGTTTCGACTGCACGACGATGTTCTGGGAATATATTGCAATAAACACCGGAGGTGGTCTGTTATTGAAACTAAAATATGTCAGAGAATTAAAGGTACATTCCAAAGAATACATTTTGTTTACCTTCCATTTTAATTAAATCAGCCCTTTTTCGTATAAATTGATATATTTTTAAGGTTATTTACACGTAGAATTCTAGAATTATGAAATAATCATAATTCATTCGTATACTTACAATAGAAACAGTCCTGGAGAAATCGTCACTGAATACAGAGGCTGTTTTGGGGGGAGCTGCCACGGGATTCCTTAGCGTCTTCATTGTGTACATAGTGGTCATGATGGTCAAGCAAAAAATAAAGTAAGTATCAGAAAAACATAGGAAATAGTTATATTATGTTAATATTCAAAAAGAAGAACATCGCAAAAAGTAAATTTTATGTGATTGTAGTCCAAACGATAGAATTAATGAAATCGCAAGATTATTCAAAATACCATAATTATATTTTGAGAAATAAATCAAAACATGTGGAGAAAAGTGATAAAACTGACGTTTGTGAAGTATCTTACTTTTTAAAAATATATAAGGGATTTCACGATGATTTTAAGGAAGTTGAACGATGGTGAAGACTTCTCCTTACAAAGACGACCGGGTGAAGAAAGTTCACGGCGGAACGACTACTTAGAAACTGTGACCTTTATAACACCCACATCTGATCAGGCCTCTAGTGTAAACGAAGGGGGACTTGATAGTACAGAGGCCAAAACAAAGGAGGATGTGAAGAAACCAGGAAGACATGTTCAGGCTAGCCAAGAAAAGAGGAAGAAGCACCATCTTTATCATAATGTGTTTAAGAAAGGGGCATATGAAAACGTTTAAGAAAATTAATTCTGTGTTATTTGATTTAATAAACCTTTGGTGTTTGTACATGTCTGACTTTTGTTTTTCTAGTCGGTTTTTTTTTTGAACTCGTTATAACGAATACAACAAGTCTGTGAAAACACTTTAAATTCGTCATAACGAATTCAAAGAAATTGTTAATTATTGCGAATTCAATTCGTTATAACTGACAATTCATGATAACGAATTCAAAAATATTTTGATAGGTCCTAAATGGGCTTTCTTGTGATATAAAACTATAGAAGATTATTATTTTTGACATGATATGCTGACCTAGTGTGGATAAAAAGGAAACAGCTAAATTGATTATTTACTGTTTGAGTCGGCAATATGGCGGACAGCTAAAATTAAGCTGGAAACATTTAAGAGAGAAGTGGTTGGTATATTAAATAGTTATTATACCAAGAAATATCATGGATAAGTGTCCAAAATAAGGAAATCACCGTCTTGCGCAAGTTTAATTGAGCTTAACTCAATTAAGTTAAACTGGTCTTCCTCCTAGTGCCCTTTCCTTGGTGGTGTCCACTTTTAGAATACTTTTGGAATTCTTAATCCTTTAATTCTAAAGATATGTCCTAGCCATCGAACTTATTTGAATAGAAAAACAATGAATTTATTAAAGTGTTTATTTTATCTATCGATGACCCACATTTACATGTATGTATATTCATGTGAGAACGCATAAAATCAATATTGAAAATATTTGCTAATTAAAAAAATCCTTTATCCTAATTATCTGGATACTGAGATATTAATCAAACATTAACTAAATCAACGAAAATTTTCATATTTGTTTTTTTTAACCTGAAGTATCATTCAAATAATTTCCTCGAAATGTCAGAAATAGAAAACTTGCATCAAAGGACCATATCCTGTATGGACGCATAGGAAATTAATCCCGTGTTGGAAATAGGGAAGTATTATAATATAATACTGCATTTTTTGTGGGAACGAATCATACATTAATTTGATCATTAAAATGTTGGTGGTTTTAATTCAATTGTGGATTATATATCTGTTGTCCAGCCTGTCAAATGGTATAGATATAACTTAAATATTTCTCCTACTTAGTAACTTCATGAATCGAAACTTATTAAATCGAAAATATTGCAAATATAAGTTAAAGGCAATATTATTTACGTGGAAATTATTATTAAAATTAGTAAATATTGAACTAGCAGTCGCTAAAGTGTACCAGTTGATTGGAATAGTATGTATTGTTAATTCATCGATAATTTAAAATACCTATCAAATGCACAGAAAGTATTTGAAAATATATATTAGAATGGTGTTATGTAACTTGAAGGTTGTTTCGTTTTCTATCTTTGTCAATTTCTTATATTAAGAGAAAATCTTTATGCAAAAGAAAGTGATATTACTATACTTAAAATAGTATTTTGGTATACATTAAAGAGCAATGACAAGCTCCATGCTTTCGATTAAGAATTTTATAGAGCACTGATATTAAACATTAGAAAGTTTGAGAGTTTGTCAAATAAGTGTTTTGGGTTATTTTAAAAACAATTTTCAGTGTTTTTTTTCTTATGTAAAACGATAATAAAAAAGGTCTTTAAATTTTTTCACCATAAATTTTTTCGCAACACGTATATTTCATATTCATGTAGGTTATGTATTTTACAAATTGCAAATGACATATTTCCTTTGGAATAATTGGGTAAAACGCATCTATAAATGCAAGACACAACAGTATTTAAAAACAACGCCAAACCTTATACATGTACGTTGGTTAAACATAGATTTTAGACTTCAGCAAGGTTTTCTTTATTTACACAAGGATGTGTCCATAGTTTTTATTCTTAATTCTTCATCGTATCATTATGTGTCAAACGAAGTCTATGAGTAGACGTAAACTAAATGGTATGGTAACATTTTTTGCGGAAATTTCGTCATTTTTTTGCAATTCTAATACATGTACATGTACTTTGTAATTATAGCCAGAAATAAACAACTAGACATAATCCTGGGTCTTGATGCCTCCGTAAACACCAAGAACGAAGAGGATTTTAATTATCAACGTGAATTTTTCAAAGAAATAACAGAGACCATTTACAACCACAGCGAAACAAGTATACGTGTGGGGGTGTTTGCTTATGATGATACTATTAAACTTTATCCACAAAAAAGAATTTGGTCAGATCAAAATAGTACCAAAATAGATGTCATAGATAATATAGGCAGTCTAAACTACACAAGTGGAAATGACAAACCCTACTTAGATCATGCTCTTCGATTTGTTTTGGCGATTTTTGATGATGACAGGGCTGAAAATAGAGAGCGAGAATGCAGCGAAAAAATTTTGATAATGGTGGTTACAGACCAAGTCAAAAAATGGACAGATGGATCAAAAGAGTTGGCCAGACTAAAGGAAATGGGGATAAAGTCGTTCTTTATTGTAGTGGGAAAGAATGGCAAGAGTGTTAATGTAATTAAAACAGAGGAATACTCATTTGTTACCTCCTTCAAAGAACTGGGCTCCTCCGAAATCCTGAAGAACTCATCGAATTTCTTAGAAAGAACACTCATCAAAGGTAAGGGAATCAACTTAATCATGATAAATTAAAGTTAAAACATACAGCAGAAGACTCGGTGTTCTAATAATAACTTTAAGGTATATAAAACTTAAAACACACTTTTAATATACTGTAAATCACTTTTTATTCACAAGAACATTATTTTCGCGTAATTACGCGAGTCTGTCTCCTCGCGAAAATTCCATTCTTGCATAAATTAATTTGTATTAGTAAGGATTACTTATACACAGCAAAAATCATAGCTTGCGAAAATTTTGTCTCGCTTATAAATACCATATAGCTGACTCGCGAAAATAAGGTGTTGCTAAAATAACGTAATCTACAGTAGGTTAAACTGCTAATCTTACAACAAAACGTTTATAACGAAGGTAACTTGCAACTGGTTAAAGAAACAAAAATGTTTAATTTGAAGTAACTGAATGGCAGAAAACAACAAAAACAATGCTTTAACCAGAAAAGTTTCAATCTAAAAATGTTTGTCTTGTTTTTAGGGATAGGGTCCTGCTGCTCATCTACATTCCCAGGAGGACAGCTAACTTACCCTACATGTTCTACACACATGGGAAATAAATGTAAGGTCTCCTGTGACCGCTTTCTAGAGACGCAGCTAGTTGTTCTAGGAACTTGTGAGACCAGCGGTGTTTGGAGCCATGGCGGACGCGAAATTTGTAAAGGTAATGAAATTTGTCTTTAATAAATGTCATATGCTTTATAATTTAAAAAAAAATCAATGACAAAATGTACAATTTATTTTTTTTTTTAAATTAGTACTTTAAATTATGACAAATTTCAAAATTTGTTTAAATTGGGTGTTTTAATTCGTTTTTTCCATATTTTTATGAACAAAAATAAGACCTCGATTGCACAAATAAAACAGGTTTAGATAACAAATTTTAATAAAAAATGATTTCGCTTCATCAATTCTGGCAGTCTCTCTATTTATCTGAATAGGCCTCAAATGGGCTTTCGTCAATCATTTTTCAAATACTTGATAAAGCCCAACATGCTGTCAGTATTACATGTATATCAATTCGACCTAATTTAGCCTTTTACATTCCATTAAACAGAGTTTGAAGTCCATCTAGTGTCCGTTGCCATCGGTGCATTTTCGGTATTGGTGGCCTTCGTCCTCCTGAGTTTTGTACTGGCATATCTGTGCAAACGAAAATGGTACGTCTCTCGTTCTTTCACCAAGACTTTATCAATACATACAAGTGTATTTTGAAAGGAATGCATCGATTTTCTAACTACATTCCCTTTACATTACTTTATTTTAGTTTTTGGTAAATTGCAACATTTTATTTAAAAAAAAAAGAACGATTGACTGATCAGGTCAACTTTAAAATAATGTTTGATTGCCCTCTCCCGACTCAGGATGAAAAATTTGGGTCGGAATGTACATGGGAATTTTTTCACAGAGGATTTTCAAATCAGTGCTTAATTTTCTGACCATTTTTCCCAGAATGCGCTAAAATTATTAGTTGGTTAAAAAGTTATGAGTCGGGCCACTCTGAGACTATCAGTCAGGAGAGGGCAACCAAATAATTTTATATAGATGACATTATCTCTATATTGCTAAGACTAAACTTACAATGTTATAATATCGTATTTCGTATTTTCGCTCGTGCAAACGTTAAAAATTGCACCTGCCTAAAAAAATAATGCTTTTTGGAATGGAAAAAAATCTTCCCCTGAACTCCTAAGATTGCACCATACACTATGATAACTTGGGGGAAAACACGCACACAACACATTTCACTAATAGACATTAAACTTGTGTATCAGTACCTTAATTCAAAGATCTAACCTATGAAAGCATTGAACTTGTGGTTTGTTCATTTAATGTGCAGCTGATTTAGACCCCCATCTTTATAAATTTTCTAGATCAGCGCCTAAAAAATTTTGTACATCTATAATGATGTCCTCGTTGAAAGGTTTCTCAATTCATTATTTTATACTAAAACCTGCTTAATATGTATGCCAAAATCAATAATCAAAGCTTTGACATGTCTGAAGTCTAACCACTAACAGTTCTTTTTATACAGGGTGTTTCACAATATATGTCACACATCTAAATACAAATGGATAAATGACAACTAAAGCTACATATACATTCTATATATCATTTTAATCAGCATAAATTCAAAATTATATTTTGGGGTCAGAAGTACCCAACATTCTCCACTTCAGTTACCATGGTAACAAATCCTAAAATGTTATTTTTAAAGTGTTTCCAACATTACATCCTAAATAACTTATGAGACTAATGCTTGGAAATTTCTGACCACTCTTTTGTAAGTTCACATGATACTTGAGATTTTTCTTGTTTTATATCTGGCTTTTCAGAACCCTCAAGATACATATCTTTTTTATTTAAAGTTGCATATAAATAATTGTGTCGTTTCAGAACTACCGGCATGTGTTAATTGGTGCCCACTTCTTTCGCTCTTCCTTTCAGTCAGTCTTGCAAACTTGAACCAGCTCTGAAAGTCAACTGGCTTTAAATGCTGATATGCAGACAAACAACTCAAATTTAAGATTTCTAAATACACTAAATACACTTGATGCACTAACCGGCATTGTTACAATCATTTTCCAAAACTCAGATCTAACTTTCATGAGGATTTCTCAATGATTGATTTCACTTTAAAATTGTTCTCATCTCTTCTTGTTTTTTTTTTTTGGGGGGGGGGGGTAGGATTTAGCTTGTCTTTCATTTTAACGTTAAAATTTAGCACCAAACTCTCTTATTGAAACACACAATATATATAAACTAGACAACAATTTGTGGTCTGAATATTTTTCATCATCACACCCTGTACAATATTCAGGATATCGTTCTTATAATTAAAGTTTACGACAAATTTTTGCTGCAAGTTGTACTCCATTTTGAGAAAAGCTGACATTATGAGGTCACTGATTATATCATTAGTTACTTCATGGTATATTATAATTTCCCCGATACTTTGCAATATCATAATTTTAGATCAATTTTGCTTTCATTATGTTTTGGTAATTTTTTTTATCAAAATCAATAATCAAAGATTGATGCCCATTTTTAGATGTGTGACATATATTTAGTTCTTTTTAAAATCATAACTTTTGTGTAAACTCAAAGAAAATGAAACTTACAAGTTATCTTTTTTCAGTTTAATTTTCAGGGGAAACACAATAAAGTCTTCCATACCTCCAGTGATGCAGGCCCCAGCACAGCGTTCTGTACGGAACCAGTACTCCGCCTCTACGGCAAAATCCTCCACAAAAGACAGGGAATCAGCGTCATCTGATGATCTAGAAATCGATGATGACGACGAAGAAGCTCAGGTGTACGATTACGCTCAAGAAGAAAGCGTTGTGACTCTATCCAAGCGCCCCGTAAAGAAGAAGAAACCGCAAGTCAACCATGATATACAATTCATCAAAACAAATGAACTTTCAGAGCAGAATCACAATATATCGTATTCAGGAGAGGTTTATCAAAATACAGATTTGAGTAGTTGTCGTCTGCTGAATATGTCTATAAAATCAAATGTCCCGCCACCTTGCTGTGGACCAAGTGGATATGTGGAGTATGATGGAGAGGAAATATATCAGAACAATGTTAATGTGCAAAATGATGTGCAAGATGATGAGCAAGAGGTGTATGTGAACACTGCCTTCTGATTTCAATCAAAATCAAGAAAAATCACATTTACGAGGGTTGTCCAAAAAGTTCGTGGACAATGACGTTTTTGTTAAAACCAATGGTTTATATATATCTAATGTATATCATAATATTTTTAACGAAAAACCAAGTCAGAAAGATTTAATTTTTATTGATGGAATTTCATATTTTTGTAAAAATGGTTGTCTTTATTAGGTTGCGGATAGTGCGCAAAGACCGGTCTGACGTGAGCTAATTTCATTATAACGTCAAACATTTGGATTTTGAATTTTTAATACGTTCATGGACACACACTACAGTTTCTTTATTATGTCATACTGCAAAGTGCTAGCAATAATTTTGAAGTATAGATTATAATTTAATTTTTCAATCTCAAAACAACACACAATAATTTACCAGCGTCATCAGTATAAACAATTCGTATCCACAGACTGCACAGTCTAGGCCGATGTTGCGCTAGATTTATAACGATGTCATGAATAGAAATGTCCATTTTCATCAAATAACAAGTGTTTTCAATTCCTTGAAGTGTCTTCAAATTTGTACGCACCGTTGAAAAATGGTGTGTACCTATCTCAGATCAATAAACTAAATATATTCTAATAATTTTGAATTGTTTGAACAAATATTTTGTCTCTGACGTCGTTTTAACCGTATTAAAACATAGTTTTTGGATCGAACGCTGTCCCGTTCGCACGGCCGACGTCGCTTTTTCTGTCGATTTTTACACATATTTGTTAGGGCTTTTGTGTAGTTTTTTCACTGTCTATATAGTACCCGATACTTGAGATATAAAAAAAAATGATTATAGTCTCTTTATCTGTGTTACATATATTTTTTATTGAACTTAGACTTGTTTCATATAAAAAAAATAATCAGTTTAATTCAAACACGTTATTTCAAATTTAATCTTGGTCCGTGCGAACTATCTGCGACATTTAAAGACCCCGATTTTTACAAAAATATAAAGTTGCATCAATAAAAACGAAATCTATCTGACTTAAATTTTCATAAAAATTATTTTGATATGCAAAAATATGTATAGAACCAATTATTTTAACAAAAACGTCATTGTCCACGAACTTTTTGGACAACCCTCGTACTAGTAGTTATATATATGTATTCTTTTAAGGAATAACTGTCTAATTTTTTTGTTTCATGATGTGATCTATTGATTGGCTTGCCGAAGGCGTTTATGCATAGAATTATCTAGCAAGCCAATCGATTGATCATCGTTATGAAACTCAAAAATCTATATATCAACATGTTCTTGATTCCGCAAATTCACTTGCAACTAGCCCCGCTTCTGTCTCTAATCCCCCCGCACGTTATTTTTTTTTCCAGGGTTTTGAAGTAAAAAGTATTTTTACTATTTGTAATTTTATTTCGGACAAAGACATTGGAAATGTAAATATTAACAAATACATCCTGTTAAGGCAAAAACTATTTATACAATAAAATAGTTACACTGTAATAAGGAAATTAATATTGCAGCTGTTGCCAAAAAATAATAATAATAAAACGCGAAACCTGCTTACGCATGTTAGGTAATTTTTCAGCAAATGCAATATAAATTCCCATACTAACAAAGAAGAACATTCTATTGTTTAAATAATAATTATTATCTAAAGTAGGACTAAGCAGATCAATTATTGTATTATTGGTACATGTATATATACGTCATTGTACTTTTAATTGATGGAAGAGCCATGTTGCTCAAGAAGCCTGTGCAGGTGATAGGCTTCCTGGTGTTAACTAACTGATCAACAACAGTGGTTTTTCTCATGAAATAAAGAAAATGTACGGTGGATGTAAATATAAATGAATATAATTTGTGATTTTTTATTTCAATCGTACCAAACAAGACAGTTAATTGTACGATTACTTCTATTTCCTGTTTAGTAACAAATTAATAAAACGTGTGTTCTAGTTTCAATTAAGATATAAGTGGTTCATCTTATTCTCAAGTTGTAAGCTCACCTGAGCCGAAGGCTCAAGTGAGCTTTCCTAATCAAAATTTATCCCTTGTCTATCGTTGTCGTTGTAAACTTTTCACATTTTCATCTTCTCAAGAACCACTGGGCCAATCTCAACCAAACTTGCCACAAAGTATCCTTGAATGAAGGGGATTCAAGTTTGTTTAAATAAAGGACCAAGCCCTTTTCCAAGGGGAAATAATTATGAATTAATGAACCAGAAGTCTCTGTCGAGACTGTAGCTCTACTGGTTTGTACTTATAACAAAGGATAAGAAAAGAAGCCATTGCAATCAGACCAAAACTGTAGAAGGAGTGATGTTTTAAAGGAATTTCACGGACATTTCTATTTTTAGTACATAATGGCAACATCATTCATCAAAATCAAAAACCGATGCATATTTAATGTATCTTAGCAAGCCAATTGTGTGCCAAGTTAAATTGAAATCAGACCAAAACTGTAGAAGGAGTAGTATATTAAAGGAATTTCACAGAAAATTCTATTTTTAGTAACCACGGCAACACCATTCATCGAAATCAAAAACCGATGCACAGAATTATGTGTTTTTTTAGTTACTTGTGTGCCAAGTTACATTGAAATCAGACCAAAACTGTAGGAGGAGTAGCATTTTGAAAAATTGTTTACAGACAAAAACAGACGAACTATACAATAAAATAGTTACTATTGCATAAGCTCTTTTGGTCTCTGCCAAAATAATAAAATAATGCACAGAATTATGTATCTTAGTATAGTTTTGTGTGCCAAATTATATTGTAATCGAAGAACATTCTATTGTTTAAATAATAATTGTAGGAGGAGTAGCATTTTAAAAGAATTTATTGAAATTGTATTATTTTTAGTATATATACCATGGCAAATTGATGAAAGAAAACCAATGCACAGAATTATGTATCTTAGTGATAGGCTTCCTTGTGTGCCAAGTTATATTGAAATTAGACCAAAACTGTAGGAGGAGTAGCATTTAATGAATATAATTTGAAATTTTTTTTTTTCAAGTAACCACGGCAACACCGTTCATTGAAATCAAAAACCGATGCACAGAATTATGTATCTTAGTGTAGTCTACTTGTGTGCCAAGTTATACTGAAATCGGACCAAAACTGTAGGAGGAGTAGCATTTTGAAACAATTTCACAGAAATTTATTTTTAGTAACCACGGCAACACCATTGTCGAAATCATAAACCGATGCACAAAATTTTATCTTGGTGTAGTCTACTTGTGTGCCAGGTTATATTGAAAACTTGCCCAAAACTGTAGGATGGAGTAGCATTTTGAAAAATTGTTTACAGACAGACAGACAGACGGACGGACGACGGACGCATTACTATCGCATAAGCTCTTCTGGTCTCTGACCAGTAGAGCTAAAAATTGATGGTATCTTTCCAAAATTTTCTTCTCAAAAACCATTGGGCCAGAAAAGCTGAAACTCATGTGGAAGCATCCTCAGGTAGTGTAGATTAAAGTTTATTCAAATCATGACCCCCCAGGGTAGGGCGGGGACACAATGACTGATCAAAGTTAAACATAGGAATATATAGGAAAAATCTTTAAAAATCTTCTTCTCCAGAGCCATTGGGCTAGAATATGAAAGTCATGTGGAAGCATCCGCAGGTGGTGTAGATTAAAGGGATCACAATGAGATAAAGTAATATGTTGGAAAAAATCCTTTAAAAATCTTTTCAAGTATGGCAAAATTATACATGTATGCTTTATTGATATAGTGACATCATCAAATAAAAGAAAATTCAAATACCCTCTCCCCCAACAAGTAAACTTTTCAATACTGAGCTCAGTGAGCTGATTTGTGTTTTTTAGCTAACACATGTGCTCAGGTGAGCGATGTTGCCCATGAGCCTCTTGTATGAATACTAAAAACTCTGTTTACGAAAAGAGAGAAAATGAGTGTTCCTGATGAGAGTTGAACAAACTGTCATATTTTTCTTATAATCGAATGCTTTACTCTCTCTAAAACATGTAAAAATGATGCCACTGTCACTGGGCCCGAACTGGGAGAAGATTAAATATGTATATGATTGAATATGTTTTCGTTTTGAGTACCCATGAAAGTCCATTGGGAAAGAAGTATGTCCTTCAATGACTAGTTTGTAATATAAAAGATGACAAAACCCCAGTTAGAGAAATAATTAATATTTAGATGAACAAAAAGATGTTTTAATCTCCTTAAATTTTAGTGACTTTAGACAAATAGCTGATAAGATATGATAAAGGGGAACTGTCAACATAACAGTTTGTACATGTACAGCAGATCAAGACAGGTAAGTCCGGATGTAAAGGCCATCATGGTTTCATTTTGAAAAAAAAATCGTACTCCAACCATCCTTTGGCCGAAATTGGAGTTTTTGCGACACATCGACAGTGAGTTGTTATGACAAATTACCTACGCGGTAAGAAATGCAAGACCTTGAAAAATCTTTGAGCTTCCATGAACAGTATACTAACGAATATGTTTTGTGCATTATCAGAACGGTGGAGTATGTGTCTATTTTAATTAATACTCAACACTGAAACCAAGTTGGATTTCTTTTAGGTAACTTATTTTAAGATGACATACTTCTGCTCCCTACTTCTGAGATAATTATGTCGACTTCTCAGATCTTATTTACTCGTGACTTATTCACATGCTCTTAAATATACTTGACAAGAAAGAAATTCTAATTACATTATCTCAGGAAGGTTTAAATGAGTGTGTAGTGGCATACTAGTTATTTCAAAAGATCCGATAAACCCTCGCACTAAATGATGAGGTAGATCTACAAATTTAAAAAGTATAAGTAATTTGTTTTTCTGGCAATTTTACATTGGTACATTATCAAGAAGTTCCGTGACACAACTATCAAGATGAATATAATTATTTCAAGTATTTGGTGTTTTTTAAGTGTGTTTCTGCAATTGGTTGAAAATAACGAACGTAGGAAGATTATATATATATCACGATTTCTCTTCTAACAAGACATTTATAATAATGATCACTTCAAGATTGCTAATGCAGTTATAGTCAACAAGCTAATATATTCTTTCTTTCTTTATTTGAGTATATTCATTGCTTAAGCTAATTTAACCTATATCATATTATTTTAACAATTATTATATAATTTCATTATTTTAAATATATTTTATTATTATATTAAAAACTACTCATAAATAACGAAAAACATTATTATTAAAACAAAAATTATTACACTTCATTTAATTATCAACAAGGCGATAAAACTTTATTCTGAAAGTTGTTATATTTCATTAAAAGATATTTTGAACCATACGTTTTTAGGTTCCATTTAAAATGTAAGTTTAAAAGCAAATACTTGAGTACTTAAAACCTATTATGTTATGTTTTAGCTGTTATATTTGTTTCCTTCCTTCCTTATTACAATTAAAGTTAAATTTAAATATGGCGAACCATAAAAACAAACTAAATATGCTGACTTGATGTCAGAGAAGTGTAAAATGATTGAGCGTTTTTAAGCTAAATTAACAAAATTCATGACGAATTCTATTTCTAAAGATTTTTGAAAAGTTACATGTATGAGTGTTTTCAAATTATACGTTGTTATATATAGTTATGTATAATATATATATACCTTGTTTGCTTTTTAGCTCACCTGAGCTGAAAGCTCAAGTGAGCTTTTCTGATCACATTTTTTCCGGCGTCCGTCTGTCTGTCTGTCCGTCTGTCTGTAAACTTTTCACATTTTCGACTTCTTCTCAAGAACCGCTGGGCCAATTTCAACCAAACTTGCCACAAAGTATCCTTGGGTGAAGGGGATTCAAGTTTGTTCAAATGAAGGGCCACGCCTCATTCAAGGGGAGTTAATTGGGAATTTGAAAATTTGGTGGTATGTTTTAAAAATCTTCTTCTCAAGAACCACTGTGCCAGGAAAGATGAAACTTATGAGTAAACATCCTCAGGTAGTGTAGATTCAAGTTTGTTCAAATCATGACCCCTGGGGGTAGGGCGGGGCCAAAATGGCCGACCAAAGTTTTACATAGAAATATATAGGAAATTTCTTTAAAAATATTCTTCTCAAGAATGACAAAGCCATAATTCATCATATTTATATGGAAGCATGCTCAGATAGTGTAGATTCAAATTTGTTCAAATCAAGACCCCTGGGGGTAGGGCGGGGGCCAAAATGGCCGACCAAAGTTTTACATAGAAATATATAGGAAAATTCTTTAAAATCTTCTTCTCAAGAATGACAAAGCCATAATTCATCATATTTATATGGAAGCATGCTCAGGTAGTGTGGATTCAAGTTTGTTCAAATCATGACCCCCGGGGGGTAGGGCGGGGCCAAAATGGCCGACCAAAGTTTTACATAGAAATATATAGGAAATTTCTTTAAAAATCTTCTTCTCAAGAATGACAAATCCATAATTCATCATATTTATATGGAAGCATGCTCAGGTAGTGTGGATTCAAGTTTCTTCAAATCATGACCCCCGGGGGGTAGGGCGGGGTCAAAATGGCCGACCAAAGTTTTACATAGAAATATATAGGAAATTTCTTTAAAAATCTTCTTCTCAAGAACGACAAAGCCATAATTCATCATATATATATGGAAGCATGCTCAGGTAGTGTAGTTTTAAGTTTGTTCAAATCATTACGGGGTTATAACGGGGCCAAAATGGCCGACCAAAGTTTTACATAGAAATTAATGGGAAAATTCTTTAAAAATCTTCTTCTCAAGAATGACAAAGCCATAATACATCATATTTATATGGAAGCATGCTCAGGTAGTGTGGATTCAAGTTTGTTCAAATCGTGAGCCCCTGGGATAAGGCGGGGCCAAAATGGCTGACCAAAGTTTTCAAAGATATATATAGGAAAATTCTTTAAAAATCATTTTCTAAAAAATAGCAAATCCATGATTGGTCATGTGACTACTTTTGGATTTAAACTTTACAATAAAAAACCATTTTCTTTTTCCTACCCTTAGTGCTCAGGTGAGCGATGTGGCCCATGGGCCTCTTGTTAATTTCTTTCAAGGTAATAGGACACAGATTTTGATTTACTTGACCTGAAAACTCGAGTGAATTTTCTAATGCCGTTTGACAGGCGTCATTTCAATATCTTTCAAAAACCTCTGGACCAGAACACTGATGAATGTAATGTGAAAACGTTGTGCATTTTCAAAATTGTTCAAATAAGCTAAAAATGGGGGATGCTGTGTGGTTGAAATAATTTTGTCCCTATTTACCAATAGATGCTATACGCCTACAATGTTGAAATTGTTTTTGTGGTTCGATAGAAAAAATGAAAATGTTCGAAGCCTACGACTAATGCACAACAGACAGAAACAAACTGTAATATCTGAGTGAATTATGTGACCTTAATATTTGAAATTAGTACTGTAGGGCTCCAACCTGTCTAAGGGAATAATTAGGTTTACTATCAAGTATTTTGAGCACCATTTCTTTTCTTTTTTAATATTTATTTATGAGCAACATAACCAGACCTCAAGTTTGACACCACAGAAACTATAAGGGTATGGCTTAAACAAGATGTGTTTGTGAAACACTATGCGCCCGGCGGTAACAAAGTTCAAAAAACTATTTTTTGCAGATAAGGTCACAAGGTCATGACCTTGGTGTCATTTGAAAGAACTTTATTAGTGGAGTATGCATATCAATTATGAAGTCTCTACCTCTCATGGTTGAAAAGTTATGGCGAGAAGTCTAAAAAGTTATTTTTAGCATATAGGTCACAGTCAAGGTCACAAGGTCATTGACCTTGGTGCCATGTGAAAGAGCTTCATTGGTCGAGTATGCATACCAAATATGAAGTTTCTATCTCTAATGGTTCAAAAGTTATGGCGAAGGTTAATGTTGACAACAGACAGACATACAAACAGATAAACAGACAGGACAAAAACATTATACACCTCGGATCTATCGATCCGGGCGCATAAAAAACAATGTACATTGTAATCGAAAGCTCATATTATGATGCACTGTATATTTTTAGAAAATGAAGAAATACTGATATATTTAGGAATTCACATGTTAGATTGCAAAGGGAACAAGATGTGTTTGTGAAACACTGATGCCCCTGTATGGCAACATAGCAAAGGTTAAGCTTTCTCAAATGCAGATCAAATATGTTGGTACCTAAAGTAAGGCCTTTTCACAAGAAATACAAATGTGGAATATAAAACCCTAGCACCGCCTGTTCAAAGGTTATGACCAAGTTTAATGTTTTTTAAGGTAGGACAAACTCCAGGGTCAAGGTCAAAGGGTCAAGGTTGTTAGTTTCTAAAGAAAGGCTTGTCTTCAAGATTATTTATGGGAAGGATGAAAGTGCTGACCCTTACCGTTCAAAAGTTATGACCAAGATTAATGTTTGTTAAAAGTAGGCCAAACTCCAGGTCAAGGTCAAAGGGTCAATGTTGCTGATATCCAATGAAAGGTAAAGTTCTTGATATCAAATGAAAGGTCTTGTCACAATAATAGATATGTGAAGTATGTAAGCCCTAATTCTTACCCTTCAAAAATAATGTTCAAAGTTGTATTTGAAAGGAAGGTCAAATTCCAAGGTCAAAATTCTTGGTATCCAATGAAGCGTCTTCTCACAAGAATTACATATGTGAAATATGAAAGCCCTAGCCCTTACCGTTCAAAAGTTATGGCCAAGGTCAAATTTTTTCATAAGTACAGAAATCTCAAAGGTCAAGGTCAATGTTGTTGCTACTCAATGAAAGATCTTGCCACAAAGAATACATACATGAAGTATAAAAGTCCTGGTATCTACTGTTGAAAATATATGGCCAAAGTAAAAGTTTGAAACTTTTTGTGTAAAAGTGGGTCAAACTCAAAGGTAAAGCTACCCAAATAAAGGTCTTTGTACAGTTGTTCCATCTGCGATTTTGTGGCTATGAAGGAAAGTGAGTTGATGAAGCACCACAAGTGGTACATTCCTCATAAAAACAAGAAATCAGAACAGTTTGACATCGTTCGTGGAGAGGGTAACATCGACTTAAGACTAAGGAAGTGTGAAGGACCAGCCTGGTTAAGTTATTGGATGGCAAGACTATTAAAGAAGAAAGAAAAGATCGTGAAATCAGTTGAAGTTGAGAAGGAAATGTTGAGGAGGATATTAAGGATCAGTTGTTTGAAGATGTTAATAATATGGATGTGGATGAAGATTTGGGTATTGGAGACCAGGACAAGAACGTACAGGGAGGAGAAGCAGAAGGAGTAGTTGAAAAAAAAAACTGTTAGACGAAAAGATGAAGAAAATCGATGAAGTATTTCGGATGGTGTCGAAAATGTATAGGAACGGGTCAAACAGAGGACTCTCGCCTTTACCTTACAGAGAGCAAACGCCACCGTTAAACAGAAGAAGTCCAAAACCAAGATCACAAAGTCCAAACCAAGATCAAGAAGTCCGTTGAAATCTAAATCTATAGGAGACAAGAACGAGTTAATACCTAGAGGAACAACTGATGGAGAAGAGCGACAACATTGTCTGAAGATAAAGACCGTCATCGGCAGAGGTCACGGAAGATTAAATCTGTAGTTAAGAAAGTTCATGTTAATTAAGTTAAGGGTTATTTAGATTAGTGGTTTGGGGGTGGATTTTACTACTTATTATATTAGTACTCATATGAAAGTACGTCAGGTTTCTATATATGTGATACTTCACCTTATATATTGAAATATTACATTGTTGACGCTGTGTATTATGGAGAGATACCCCTTTTTGTTTTGTATACAGAACTTATGTATGACATGTGAAACCTTTTGAGAGTATTTAACAGAAATTCCTATTTTTAGTAACCAAGGAAATAATGTTCATCGAAGTCAAAAACCGATATGCAGAACTGCATGTGTATCTTAATGTAGTCTACTTGTGTGACAAGTTATATTGAAATCAGACCAAAACTGTAGGAGACCTAGCATTTTGAAAGAATTTCACAGAAATTTCTAATTTTAGTAACCACAGCAACACCTTTCATCAAAATCAAAAACCGATAAAAGAATTATGTACCTTAGTGCACAGGGGCTTGTCACGAAATATTTATCTTCTTTTAATAAAGTTACCCCTACTATAAAAATACACAAGGGAGGAATCTAAAAATAGGAAATTCGCTACCACAAATTTTTATCGGACTTGTTATCTAGTTTCTGGGCAACTTGCCCTGCCAACCAAGTAGGAGTGAGTGGAATATAGATTCAATTTTGATATTCTTCAGTCAAATTCTAATCAACGCACACCGTTAGTCATATAACTAACCTCTTTTTTCGACATTTGGATCTGGCGACAGTTCTTTCCATATGTTCTTCCGGAGTAATTTAAAAGCTGCGCTCTGATTGGTCGCTTTCTGTAGATAACTCGTACTCAAAGTAACTCTCGAATTAGTGCACTGAAACGGAGGGAAAATCAAATTCGCAATGGCCATGAACATGAAGAATACAGCTGTGGTTTTATGGTACGTATTTTTTGTATATTTGGTAATATTTATGTATATAAACATTTTTAATGTTATGATGTCTGGGAAATAAATATTGGGAAAAACATGTTACATATATCATGTACACTAAGGCCCCCAAAAAATCTTGTTTCCTGCTACCAGTCTGAAAAAATAGGGTAGGTGGGTAGGAAATTTATTTTATTTCATTTTTTCCAAAGTTATTTCCAATGAAATAAATTGATAAAATTTTAAAATGATATTCATGTACAATGTGAAATTAAAACCATTCCAGCATATAAATATAAGTCAATGACAAAGAATAAGAAGCCAAAGTAAAGTAAAGTTTTTAATTGGTAATTAATAAATGATTTGATTTTAAAAAAATTCAAATAATAACTCTCCTAACAGGAGTTATATGTTTTCAATGTAGAGTACATTGCATGGAGAGAAAATAATTCTGTGTACATTGCTGCCTTCAAATATGAACACTGACACTGACAGTGACTACCCCCCTCCCCAAATATTCATGTCTAGTATTTTCATCAGATAAGGATCAGTAACATATATTTCATTTCATATCATAACATTCATTTTCTCTACAATTAGGACACATCCACTGTTCTGATTTTAACTGCTCATCATCTTTATCTATAAATAAACAATGAAAATGATGCCATGTATCACAATTATCACAACATACTGCCTCCTCAAAACACTCCTGTTCACAAATTCCACATGGCCAATGAATAGTTCTAGCTTTTCTTTACCAAACGCTTCCCTTTGGATTTTGTTGATTGTCGAATTCTCTTATTTTTTGATCCACTAGCACTCTCCTGAGTGGAAACCTGGTCAGTCGTTACTTCTTGAGCATGTTTAGAATTAGATATATTTTCACTTGACACTCCAGCTTCTTTTGACTTTGAGGATATGCTTTGACCTGGTTTATCTTCATCAGAATGGAATGCATCAGGATTCACCATCTTATCAGATGAAAGTATTACACTCTTCAGCGTATCTGATAAGTCTTGTTTTGTAATATTTTTTGCTGTGGTAATACCATAGGCTGCACATAAGATAAGCAGATGTTTCTTCTGAAAAGGCCCGTTGATTAAATATTTATTGTTTGCTTCTATCTGACACTGAATGAATCTGTGAGAAGAAATCTTGTCTGTACTTTTGTCATTATAAATGTTCTCCATATTCCAGTGTCCACCATAAGCTGCAGCCTTTTCCTTTTTCTTCAGAATCTGCTTTCTGTGTGCCTGTTCTTTTTCTACTGCAAATGTTCTGTTACATTCTTTTTTAAACTGGTTTGAAGACATTTTGACATATTTGTTCACTATCTGATCAAAGAGAATCATAACTATCCCATCCCTGCCCTCTGCATTGTTGAATAATGCCTTCCACATTTCTTTTAGATGTTGACTTTCATTTATTTCACTCAAAATGAATGTGTAAAGTTGTTTTGAGTATATGTGAATATTTTTAATAGTTTCCATTTTCCTGATTTGCTTGTCAAGCTCAAGAAAGAACTCAAAGCAGGAATCTGTCACATTTGTCAGGCCTTGGCGGACATTTTGCTTTCTCTTCACTTCCATCAAAGAAGATACATCCGTTGTACTCTGAAAAATCTCTTCCTGAGTTACCACAAGCTCTTCTAAGCATTTTACCTCTTGGTCTACAAGAGTTACAGTTCCTCTGGCATTTTTTTTATATAAGTTTCTTTTCACTTGCTTCTTTTTATTATGTTTAAGGGAAGCAACACACCATCCAGCAATATATCTGACTTTTGCCCTTCCACCCTCAGAGCTCTTAAACTGTTTTGATTCTTGATCATGTGCTGCATTTTGCTCACTTTGCCTGATAAAAGTCTCTGTTGCCTGCATCACGACCCTTTTCCTCAACTCTTCCACTAAACTGAAAGCTGCTCTAAAATGTCTGCTAGATACCTGAACTTCTGTTATGGAGAAAAGTTTTGCCACCATTTTTTTGTATGTGTCCTTGGAAAGAAAATGTACCACATCTTTGTGATATTTAGTCAGGTGTTTGTTTCCCACAGATTTGTCATCTGGAATACTACTGTTGAATACATCAGTGAAACTTTTCCATATCTGTTTTGCGAAGGTACTTGTATCCTCAAAATGAGTAAGGAGGTAATTGAGATCTGCATTTAACAACACTTGATTTTGAGTTTGAGGACAAGAATAGATGTCAGTTCTAATAATTCTGTCTAGATCAATATCCTCTGGCAAATTCTGAATTGGAAATTCAGCAGGTAAATCTTCAACTTGCAAGGTTTGTAATGAATCATCCACATCAGAGTCTTCATCAAAGCTGTCTGATTCAGACCAATTTTCTGTTACCCGTGACAGAGTTGATACATCATATTCCAATATTTTGGCATCTTCAGTGTGAATAGGTTGTGCACAGCACTCCTTACTCTGCAGTAGTGGAGCTGATTGGGATTCATAAAATGATGCAATAATATTTGGTTGCTTTTTCAGAAAACATTTATTAAAGTTGATAACACGGAGTCCTTCCGTCCTTGTAGCACGACCTATTGCAACACCCAGTTGGCCTGGGAAGTTCATATTTCTACAGTCAACTTCTACACAGTCAAGGGTTAACCCTTGAGCCTTGTGCACTGTAAACGCATATCCTAACCTCAGCGGTATCTGTAGCCGTGTTGCTACATCACGTTTTACTTGAATATCATACACAGTGAACAAATGTTTCTGAATTTCAATGGTGGAAGCTATGTTATCAAAATACACCATCACAGAATCTTTCTTCAGTTCTTTAACTTTTCCTCTGCTTCCATTCACAAGTTTGTCACTCAAATTCACTGTTAGAATAACTGGAGCATTCACTTTCAGATATAAATATGATGGAGCTTCACATGATGTAAGCTGTTTGTTGTCACCACCATCTGTGCTCTTATATTCCACTGATTCCCCTGTAAAACATACAAATGTAGAACATTTTAATGGTACATAGCAGAAGTCATACAATTAGTCAATTTTCTGTTATTCTTGAACAACATTTAGATGTAGTTATTACGCATCTATTAATTTTTCCCTATATAAAATTAGATTGTTAGATGTGACTTATTCCCTAAAAATCATGATGAATGGACAAATCCCTATATATGCGTTAGTCAAGTGAGCTAGTCCCTACCTCGAAAGCTAATTCCGGGTTAGTTGTAATCCTCTAGCTTTTACCTTTACATTGATGTGATATGTGAATGGACTAATTCCCATGTGTTAGTTCAGTGAACTAATCCCTGCTTTAAAATCACACTATCTGAATCCTTTTAATTTTACATTTGTATCAGTATCATAAAACAATTAAAAAGTATATACATGTATGTAATTGCGGGATTGAGCAAGATTCCAGTTCTCCTTGGTCCTGGCCTTGGAAAATTGGAACCTTGCTAAATCCCTCAATAATAGATGTATACTTTAACTTTATATTAAACTCACTTTAGTAGATTAAATATATATAGTTATGAAATATTTCAAAGGTTTTTTTAAAGTATTAATGATATGTCATGTAACATAGATTACTAATTAAAAGGCACATAGATTATTTTTTATTCCTATATTCCAAATGATATACCTAAAATCATGAAATTGAAATGATGTAATCATTATTTGTTATTATCCAGCCATTAGCTACTTTCTCAAATTGACAAAGCAGAATATATCAGAAAAGTACCCCCCCCCCCTCTTTCTACTAATGTAAATTGGCAATCAAGGTAATAATAAAAAAAAAAACTGTTAGTAAAAATTCATGCAAAATAATTGTTACTTTCAAAAATACTTCTCTTTAAAATCTTATGTGTCCATACATGCTGAAAAAGACATCAGATAATAATATCAATTTCTCATTAAAAAATATATATATATATTACCTTATAATATATTATATTAAAGAATATGTAAAATGGAATCCAATCAATATAAGGTCAAAAGGAAAAAAATTAAAATCAAATTTTTACAAATTTTGCAGGTTGATGAACAATATACAAGAGTCCATAACGTCAACAAGTACATTGAGAGCCAGAGATATTGCATCTCGTTATGAATTGGTGCACAGGGAGAATATAGATCTTCGGATTTTAGGACGCTTGATCAAAAAACTATTCCCTGCATCAAAAGTCAGTTATCCATTAAATAAGACTACCAAAACACAAGAAACTGCATATTCCAATATTTCATTCAAAGCAGCAACAGTTACAAAAACCTTCTCACTGGAAAATATTGCTCAATTCCTGCCAAAGTCATGCTTTATTTCATCTCACCTGAGTGATGGTGTAACTATTGGAGTTCCAACATCATATGTCTCAAATGGAAATGTGATTATAAAGAAAATAAGCATCCGAGATTCCACATGGAGACTTGCAATACGAGGAAAAGATGTTAAGCTAGATACATTAAAAATCAGCAATCATTTTGAATGTACAGAGAATTGTCTAGCACATGTATTAGATACTGTTGAAAGAATTCAAATGTGTATTGGCATTCCTATTTCTGATCTTACTCACCTCAGTTGTGATATTAACAAAAATTCATTTCTGAAGGAATGCATCTCAGAATCAGGAGATGAAAATTCATCCCAGATGGTTGTGCGCTATGAACATTGCGACCAAATTCTTGGATGGGGATCCACTGGAAGTTCTTGCAGGACATGTCAGAAAAAAATAAGGAGAAATACAATAATTGAAGATATAATAGACGAAGAAAAATCCATAATTTTACAAGATGAAGATCAGAAAGACATGTCTGTAATTCTAGAGAAAATCTTTCCAGGTGCCTCCTCTGAAATGAAAATCCTCTTGGAAAGCCAAAGAAAGGCTCTCAACTGCAAAAACAGGAAAGGTATTAAGTGGGACGGACATATCTTGAGTTTATGTTTAACATTGTGGGTTAGAAGTCCTAAGAATTATGAGGAAATAAGGGACAGCAACATTCTCATCCTGCCATCTGGACGTCAGCTGCGAAAATACAAGAATAGGGTGCCCCAAGAGCCTGGTATAACTGATGGAGTTATGCATTGGATGTATGCTGCAGCAAAAGAAAGCAGGCTTTGAGGAACATGGTTATGCGGGAGGATTAGTTCATGATGAAGCCAAGATTCAGGAAGGAGTTGCATTGGACATGAAGGGTGGTTATCCCAAACTCATCGGTTGGATGGACACTGGAGAAGAGAACAGACATGCTCAAATTCTAAAGGACAAGGAAGTGAAGACCACATTAGCCTCCCATGTTCTTCAAGTAGTCTTTGTGGGGTATACTGGTTTTCGTTTCCCAGTGTGTCATCTTCCTACTTCTGGTGTAAAAGCATCAGAACTACATACCATTTTGTGGTCAGTAGTTAAGAAATTGTATGATTGGGGATTTCAGGTTGACTTCATCATGCAGGACGGTGGTGAAGAGAATCGACAATTTATAAAATCAAATTGTGATGAGGATCCAATGAACAAATGTTACTTAAGCAAAAACATTGTTGACCCCACCAAAGTTGTTGCACATGTACAAGATTATTCTCACAATATGAAAAAATTAAGAAATAACATTTTAACCAGTGGACATAACAAGAACTTTCACAAGAGACTTTTAAAGAAAAATGACTTTTTTATCATTTGGGATCATTGGAAATGTGCTGTGCTGTGGGACAGAGATGTAAATACTAGACCCATATGTCACAAAATCACCAATGAACACCTTAATCCTAACAGCTCTGAGAAAATGAGAAATCATTTAGCAGAAGACATGTTAAACGAGGATTTCCTATACCTAATGGAAGCATATCAGGCAAGCTTGAGTGATGGTGAATATCTCAATTCCTCCATACAGATGCTAAAACAAACAAGCAAAATTATTTCTGTGTTTCGGGATAATCGACCTCTTACCTCTATGGAAGATCCTCGGTTAGACATTTTGAAATCAGTGTTCAGCTGGTTTCAGGAATGGAAATCAAAAGTTGGACAACTTAAAAATGGTGGAATTCAGACATCTAGGACACTTATATCTCAGAAATGTTTAGAAGACATTGAAAGCATGTTACTAACCTTTAAAGAAATCTGCAGAATTCATCTCCATCAATTTCCTGAAGGCTACATTGTCCCATCCAGAATCAATTCTGACATCGTTGAAAATATCTTCTGCCAACAACGTGGTTTGTACAATGGTAGCTCTACAAACCCTACATACAGTACTTACTGTTCTACTGTCAACTCTATTATTCTCGGTCAGTCATTAAAATCAAGAGGTCGAAAATCCAATACTGGACTTGCTGCCGCATCCCCATTCACTATGTGTACCAAGGACACACTGAGTTGTTCCTCATCTAAGATTTTACAAACCATGCGGTAAAATGCTGGAAACTTGATTGTGAAAATAAAAATAAATTAATTCAAACATTTATTCATTGAGAGTTCTGAAATTAAATTATATATATATATTTTCATGAATCTGTTTCACATTTTGCATGACACCGTTTTCATTTTGGATCTGCACTAGGCAGATACATGGAAGCTGAATGGAGACAATAGAACCCCCCACCCCCACCCCCCCACCCCCGGTCAGACATTTAAGTATGTTTCTAATAACTAATTCAGAAATGTAAACAATGAACACATGCTATATGTAACAATGCTCATGCAGAAACAAAGCAAAGAACAGATCTGTACATCAGTAGTTTATCCTACCAATTACATGTGTTGATCATGTTTACCTTTTGCCCCATTAAAAATTGTTCAAATGACAGATATGCTCTTTTTTAATATGGATCGGTAAAACAAGGAACATGTATATGAAAGCACACTGTAAATTGTATATACCTGTTAGTTCAAGAAGGTTATCAGAATTGCATATGTCCACATCATAGTTCTGTGAAAATAGTCTCACTGGAACACCAGTTACAAGAGGTCTTTCTAAAGTCTTCAGAAACTCGATGGTGGACTCTGAAGCCAATCCACGACTTAGCTCATGAATAGCAGTAATTAATTTTTCTGAAATAAGTTACAAGTCAGTTACATTTAAAGTTTTTATATGTGGTTTAAAAATTCAAACAATTTAGAGGTAGACTGGTATGATGATCTTGTTAAAAAAAAAGAAACCTTTTATAACTGTATATATTGACAAAAATGTGTTACATGCATTTAAACAATTTGTGCTTTAAGGAAGCTTTCAACACTGCACACTAAAGAGTTATACTTGGTTTTATGCAGTTAGCCTGATCTGTCCTTAGAAACAAGTAACAGCTTTTTAGAAAGCTTGCCTGACTAAATCAATCAATATCTGCATGAAGAATGATAAACCTTTTGTGCAATACTTAAACTTACTTTTGTTTTTGAGCACCTTGTGTAAATGAAATCTTCATTTTGTTTAACTTTTATAAGAATCATCTATACATTGCATACTGAAGAGTTGGTATTCTCATAGTATTCTGTGGGGGTTTTCTGCAAGTGGAGTGATCTGCCCTTGGATCTAAATTGATTTCGAACTTATTATAAAATCTGTCACCAATTATCGTCAACATTCTAAAAGATGGATATAATTCAATAGTACACATTTTGCTGGAGTGTATTTTCCCCAACAGGCTCGTAGCATCGTTTTTGAAAGTGGGGGGGGGGGGCAACCTAAAAAAAAAATTTTTTTTACTTACCTAAAAAAAGTTGACAAGCAAGAAAAAAACAAAAACGAAAATTACCTAAAGTCGAAAATCCTATTTTGTGTGTGTGGTGGTGGTGGGGTGGGGTGGGGGGGTGGGGGGTGGGGGGTAGTGGCCAACTTTTTTCAATGCCAACTTCCTTTCACTTCCATTTTTTTCCCCTATATTTCCTTACTATGTATATACTGTTGTAAAAAGTGGGTGGGCCAAGCATCTTTTCAATGGACATTTTCTATAGTAAAGGTAATGTTGGGGAAAAAAGTGGGGGGGGGGGGGGGGGGGCCCCCCCGGTTGCTACGTGCCTGCCCACTGAAGTAAACAGTAGTAATGTGTTTATCATTTTTTTTCTTAAAAGAAGGGGGGGTAGTCCTACTATCATATATTGAGAATGAAATCAAATGGGGCAGCCCCCCCCCCCGTTGCTACGTGCCTGCCCACTGAAGTAAACAGTAGTAATGTGTTTATTATATTTTTTTTTCTTAAAAGAAGGGGGGGGTAGTCCTACTATCATATATTGAGAACGAAATAACTTAAAAGTAAATTCACTACTTAGACCTGTGTGGAAAGAAAAATCCAAGATTTTGCACTTCTTTTTTATTTATTGTGCGCATCTGAACAGAGAGATATATTATAGATCATGCATCTGGAGACCATGACTTTGTTGAAATGCGTTGTTTATCATTATTGGACTAATCCATTTATGGAATAAACCAACCGCGGGATCGAGAAACAAATTAGAAAACTCATTTCTTTAGTGTTGCATGTTCGTATACTGATATTTTATACGATATGTTGTTTAAAAGAAAGAGATAAAACATTTATTTGTAGATAGAATTTCTGAAGCATTAGGACATCCTTTAATTCCATAAAAGTTAGAACACCCATTCATACAATAGAACAATTCAAGTAAAAGGCGCGAAGATAACTTACTAGTGACATTTAAATTGGCTCGAAAAGAGCGATTCACCCCTTCTGTAGAATATAAATGGACTGATCCGGTAGTATAGAAATGCAGAAAAAATGATACACGGACATGTTGAAACGGTGAATCACATGGAAAAATTTGTTCATTGCAAAAGAGTAAAGGAAGTAAACAATGCAGTATTTTGAATCAGTAATATTATTTTTTCTGAAAACTGTTTGTTTTAAAATGCAGCTAAAGAATTCCAATAAAAATCAGCTTGCATAAAATTTAGGTCTCAAAGTATGATCTATTAGTTTCGGATTATGAAAATATCAATCCTTATACAGCCTGACGCCGTGACGACAGGCAATAAGATGGAGAAATGGTTATTTACACTTAATTACACTATTTGTAATAACTTAAATTATTCTTAAGATTATATTAAACCAAAAATAATTGTATTATTCCCATTATTTAATCTGTGAACATGAGTTAGTTTATTATCTTTAAACATTTTTCCTGCCAATATAAGACAAGTATCTGATATTGAAAATGAATTTAGTCTCGGTATGAACATCTTTATATGATATATCTCTCTACAAGTTTAAATGACACTTTTTATTCGTGTTTAGAGCTTCCTTAAGGCCACGCAAAGTTAATTACTTGGTTTTCAGGCCTTTTTTCAAGAAATATGATGAGGGAGGAAGGCATTCTTTTCCTTTTTTATTGCCCCCAAAACATGATGAGACAGCTTTTTACATTGTACAAAACCTCAAAAAATGATGAGGGGGGTGATTTGGTGTTTATATTTTATTGATTTAGCAATAAAAAGGGTCATGAGGCACCCTTGGAAGAGATGAGGGAGGGCCTGAGAACCAAGAAATTATTTTGCCTAAAACTGTTGTATGTACCTTCTGATTGCCGATACACCTTTTTCAAGACTATGTGATGAGGAATAAGATCTCTGAATTTTCTATTTGATATAACCAAATCACCCGGGTCTCCATATCTTTGGTTAGCGACTGGCTTCAGCTGAAAAAAATCTCCAGCCAAAACCATCTGAATGCCTCCAAAAGGCTTGTTCACCCCTCGTACATTTCTGCAAACATACTCTATTTGCTCTAACAACTTCCACGATAGCATGGAAATTTCGTCTATAATCACACAATCTATAGACAGAATTCGTGTTTTCACATCATGATAGTTTACATCTGTCATTATTTTAATGGTCAATTCCTCATTGGAATATCGACCATCCCTTAGGGCAAAAAATTTGTGCACTGTCACGCCCTGTATCAGGGATGCTGCCATCCCTGTCGTTCCAGTTATACCAACTCTTTTTCCACTACTTTTCATTGTTTGGGCTATTTTTTTCACTACATAACTTTTGCCAGTGCCCGCTGGCCCAAGAATTAGAACGTTGTGGCCTTCTGTTGCTATCTCCATTTTCCCGTACTTTTTTATTCGAGAGTTACTTTGAGTACGAGTTATCTACAGAAAGCGACCAATCAGAGCGCAGCTTTTAAATTACTCCGGAAGAACATATGGAAAGAACTGTCGCCAGATCCAAATGTCGAAAAAAGAGGTTAGTTATATGACTAACGGTGTGCGTTGATTAGAATTTGACTGAAGAATATCAAAATTGAATCTATATTCCACTCACTCCTACTTGGTTGGCAGGGCAAGTTGCCCAGAAACTAGATAACAAGTCCGATAAAAATTTGTGGTAGCGAATTTCCTATTTTTAGATTCCTCCCTTGTGTATTTTTATAGTAGGGGTAACTTTATTAAAAGAAGATAAATATTTCGTGACAAGCCCCTGTGCCCAGACATCATAACATTAAATATGTTTATATACATAAATATTACCAAATATACAAAAAATACGTACCATGAAACCACAGCTGTATTCTTCATGTTCATGTCCATTGCGAATTTGATTTTACCTCCGTTTCAGTGCACTAATTCGAGAGTTACTTTGAGTACGAGTTATCTACAGAAAGCGACCAATCAGAGCGCAGCTTTTAAATTACTCCGGAAGAACATATGGAAAGAACTGTCGCCAGATCCAAATGTCGAAAAAAGAGGTTAGTTATATGACTAACGGTGTGCGTTGATTAGAATTTGACTGAAGAATATCAAAATTGAATCTATATTCCACTCACTCCTACTTGGTTGGCAGGGCAAGTTGCCCAGAAACTAGATAACAAGTCCGATAAAAATTTGTGGTAGCGAATTTCCTATTTTTAGATTCCTCCCTTGTGTATTTTTATAGTAGGGGTAACTTTATTAAAAGAAGATAAATATTTCGTGACAAGCCCCTGTGCTTAGTGTAGTCAATTAACTTGTGTGACAAGTTATATTGAAATCAGACCAAAACTGTAGAATGCTACCCCAAATACAGTTAGGCCATAGCTGTCACGAGATCTATTATCTTATCCGTCTTAAAATATGGCATTTCCCCTGGCGACTACACTTTTCAATTAAGCACAAACCAGTTCGTTGGGATTCAGCTCACGGTGATAAATAGGTAGACACAAAACTGTGTTACGAAGCAACATCGTCAATCTCATTCTTTGCACGAGGCGCCACGCTGCTTCATCAATGTGAGTAATTCGGCCTTTATCATTTCCGGAGTGTAATGGATACCCTTTCAATCAAGCAATATGACTGGATATCGACCTTTCACGCCAACAATGTAGAACACTAGATTCGGGATCAGGATGATTGGGATAGGAAACTTTATCCATCTCGATGACCGAAGGACCCATTTTATCAGGAAGCAACTGTTTATTGAACCACCTCGTGAAGTTTCCTGAGTTCATCTCAAAATGACAATTTTGAGTACAAGATTTCAACTCGAAAACTAGGCTCGATTCTTGCCTATAGTCGAAGAACCAGCAACCAGGATTATCAGACGAGTCTTCCTAGGTTGAACATCGAGCCTATGGCCTCCATCATGTGACTCAAAGGAAGAGGTAGATGTCCATGGCAGGTCATTTAATTTCCTCTTGCTACATGATTGGTGTTCAATCAACCTCGTCCAACTATACAATAGGACGACCTGCACCCTTAAAGCTGAACACGACTCGTAAATAGGCATACGCCATTTTCACCGTATACAACGGGTAACGCGGGGGAGTCGTTTTCAACGTCTGGGGGAGTCGATTTTCACCGCTTAGGAGTTAGAAGAGATGTGGGTCATGTCATTTTTCGGTATATGTAAGATATATTTTGCAAAAAACAACTAGCCCACGGAAGGTAGCAATAGTTAAGCTTTCTGTTGGTCACTTGTCCGGCTAGCATATATACGTCTAGTTTTCTCAAACACTTCGAAACTATTCGACAGATTTCATATTTACGTTGTGTTCGTGCTGGTTATCTTGCATTACCTTTGTTAATATTTTATTGTAGTTACGTTTATCTGTGTTGTTTGTATACTGTTCTGACTCATACAACTATAATTGTAAATTTATTTGGTATCTTACTTTCCTGCAGTAGACGAAGTATTGCGTTATTATTCTCGCTAACGAGTCCTGTGTAGCATACGTCCGTCTACACCGGTGTCAACCGATTACACTGAATAGTGACGAAGTCTTGCCCTATTTATAGGGGTCTGCAGAGTATCGAGACTCGGGAACAAAAATGGCGGACATATTCCTTTTTTACGAATCGTGTTCAGCTTTATCTGAACTAGTTTTAATTACTTTATCATAATAGCCTATGTGGCAAAGAAATGCTGCGAGTGATATACATTATCTCAATTCATTTATTCTCTCAAAAAACCATATACATGGTACAAGAGGTACATATATACATATTTACAATAAATATGGACGAGAAGAAATTACAGGAGGACAGACAGAGTCAAAAATTTTTGTAATAAATATACACAATTGTCGTAAAAATGATGGATCTGTACTTGTCATCAAAATACAAAATTTTACTTTATTTGGATGTACATAGTATTTCTGAAACAAAAAATCTTTCGGGTATTCTTTAATGCATTACATTCCAGTAAATAATGGAATACATCTCCTAACTGATTATTATTACATAAATTGCACACTCTTTCATTTCTTTCAACATTATTCCATCTACCCAAGACGATGGTTACTTGTTCTGAATTTTGAAAAGATACTTCTAAATTTTCTTGGTAAAATAGTTCAATATTTTTCACATTCAAACTTTGTTTTAAAAATTCTATATGTAATACCTTTACTAGAATTATTCATATCACTATACCATTTTTGTAAAAACTGGTCTTTGAGCTTTTGGTTTATTGCGGTTGCAATCCATTTAACACTATGAAAATTTTGATTAGTCCAAATATTACAGAGCCCCGTTGTATTAAGAATATTCTGTTTGAAAGATATCCATGGATTACTAATCCCATTTTTAGTGTATTTATTATAAAGATGTAAATAAATAATTCTACAGATCTTATTCTCATTTCCATGTATCATTTTTCCCCAGTAAGATATCATTCTTGTATAAATGCGCACATGCATCGGGTAACGCCCAGTTTCCCCGTATACCATAAAACTCGGTGTACTAGATTTTAAGTTTAAAATATATTTCAAAAATCTTAAATGTAGACGTTCGATAATATCAATATTTTCAAATCCCCATATTTCACATCCATATAACAAAACAGGAACAACAACTTTATCAAAAAGATCTAGCTGACAGTTCAGAGATAGATTACATAAACGAATTTTTCTTATAATGCCGTACATTGCCTTTTGTGCTTGGTTACATAAGTGTTTCTTGGCCTTTGAAAATGACCCTGATCTTGAGAATAAAATACCTAGGTAATTGATATCTCTAACAGTTTCTAAAACATCGTCATTGTATTTGAATGTATTTTTGGGGGGTCGTCCTTTTGAAAAAATGACAATTTTTGTTTTTTTAACATTAACATGGAGTTTCCACTTTTTGCAATATACAGAAAATTCATTTAATGCATGTTGTAAATCATTTGCGGTTTCAGCTAAAATAACCGTATCATCAGCATAAAATAAAATAAACAGCTTGATAAAAATGTTAAGATCATCCTCAATCTCTTTTGAAAAATTCTCTAAACCGTTAACATTTCTTTCTGTAAGATAATTGTCTAAGTCATTGATATACAATGAAAATAAAAAAGGTGAATGATTTTCACCTTGTCTAACCCGACATTGCAGTTGAAAAATTCAGAAGACACACCATTCACATTAATTCTTGATTTTATGCCTGCATACATATTTCTAATGTAGTTGAAACACCGTTTGAAAATAATTTGTACCAAAGACCGCCTCTCCATACAGTATCAAAAGCCTGTTTAAAATCGATGAACGCACAGTATAACCTTTTTTTGCTATTTACAGACCTGCCTACCCTTTTAATTTCAAGGGTGTAATTTCAGTAATTTTTTGGTGGAATTTCGTAGGTTAAAGCGTAATCAATCATGTTTTCCTATTTTGTTGTTAACGGGTTTTCTTGGCGGATGTAAAATTTGCCGTTTCGCCTGCTCCAAAGTATGCCAATAGATTTGGCGAAAAGCGGACACAGTAATTCAGCTCCCTGCAGATGAACACTAAGAAGAGTACTGACTATTTTAGCGATTGAAATTTTAGCGACCCGCGAAAATAATTCGCTATATAATACTTTATTTTCTTTCAAAACAACCGAAATTGTACATTTCCAAAGAAAGTAGGCTTAAACTTTTTTTTCCGAATCATTTATTGGCAAAAAAGTGTTCTAAAATACCAGTATCCTATTTTTAACTTAAATCAACCGTGCACCCTTAATGAAGCATTTGGTCAATTTGTATCAAATCACTTGATTGAAGGCTTGCGTTTGCATCATGACACAAATCTTACATAATTACAGTGTATATCTTTTTTAAAACTCATATTTCAGTATCTTGTTCTAAGCAATGTTAAAATAAACTAAACTGATCGTAGAAATGGCTGTACTTATTTCAATATCATATAATAGTTAACTAATTATAGTGCATTCTTGTGTTCTTCCGAATCTTCGCCATACCAGTTTACATATAACTACTAGGTATATTACGTACGTTTTCGACTGGTCTTCTATTAATTACTTTCATTCATTTCAGCAGGTCGTACTTTGACTAAATTTAGACGTTCTTAATGGGTTTTAATCCAAAATATCAAAAGCTTAAAATTAATATAAGTGGCGTAATAGCGTAATTCTGTGGTAAAAAGCGGAAGAATTACGCCAAAAGCGGAAGGGTAAGCAGGTCTGAATTATTTATAAGGGCTTGTGACAGAAAATGCAAAATCAATACATATATTGTCTAAAGTAGAATATCCCTTTCTGAAACCTGTTTGACTCTCATTTATCAGAATGATATTTTCTGCATAGATTTCTAATCGTTTTTTTCAAAATACTCGTAAAGAGTTTCCCTAGGCAGCTCAATAATGTGATTGGGCGATAGTTCTAAGGTTGTGTTGGATCTCCTTTATGTTTATAAATAGGTTTTACAATGCCTATTAGCCATTCTTCCGGTACTATCCCAGAGTCAAAGATAAGATTAAATAATTTCTCGTATATAGACAGGAACAAAGAAATTGTGGTACTAATATGTTCGTTAAGAATACGATCGCTTCCGGGAGATTTGTTGTTTTTTAGGTCTTTTACTGCCGACACAATTTCATCTTGCGTAATTGGACAATCAAGTGTTTCATTATATCTACTTTGTTCATTGATATTTATCGAATCTGTTTCCTCTAAATCGGCTTCATTGATATTTTTGAAGAAGTTATACAAATTGTTTAAATCAGCTGTACATGTGTCATTTTT